GGGTTATATAAAATTGGGCCGATTTCGCTAATTTTTGTTTTAAACGAATATATTGTTTCTAAAGAAGGCCGTAGCGGTGATTTTCTTCATAAAATATTTGTTATGAATGTCTTAAATTTAAGTGTGAAGTTTTATTCGCAAACTTAGAAAATAACAAATTGTTTCACTGTTTGCTTAAAACGTATATAGTGCCAACACATAGAACAAATATTACAGGTATTGTCTTGCCAGATAGCGTATATATTACAAAACATCATTGTTTCCCACGCTTAAAGGTAAGGGAAAAATGGATATTTTCAAGCACTATGTACACATAGGTATTTCTTTAAACAAACTTTTTTGTTGAGAACTTATTTAAATTCCAAAAACCGAAGGCCAACTTGAATTTAAAGAACCAACACTGAAATGCGTTAAAATGATAATAAAAGAGCACAAATTTGTATGCAAATTTGTATCAAAGTATCAGATATTAAGAAAAAATGCTCCCAAATTCTCTCTCAAGTAGAGAAACTTGCAAATTTCTATACAAACGCAAATTTGCAGGAATTTGCAAGTTTCCCTGCCAGCTAGTGTCCAGAGTTGCATTTCACACATAAGAAATTTGTATAGAATTTATAAAAGTCTTTCAGAGGCGCAAAAAACAGTATATACATATATGTATATTTTTTGTTAGTCCGACTTTCTTCAACATACGTTTCAATTTCTTTATCGTGGTAACTGTAGGGTTTCCTCTATCGACTCTGGTTGAGATTGTATTCCGATTACGAATACAGCTTTTTTCAGCCGAGTACCTTTCAAATCATTGGAGTTAATTAAATTAATTAAGTAAAAACGTATTTAATTACATTTTTCATTTTAAAATCGCTCAAGTTTGTAAATTTTTAAATTTAACGAACTTGTTTATTCAATTTATCGTCGACATAAATTCCAACTATGTTCCACACTCATATGTTTTTCCTAATCTCAAATTTTTGCTGACAAAATTTTTTCCACCTTGAATTTGCAACTTCTCTCCAAGAACTAGTCTTTCTACTTGTGATATTCAAATAAAACATGTGAAATTTAGTTGAAACAAATTAGACGTTTTTAGCCGGTAATTATTCATCATATTATTATTATAAATCAGTTTAATTTCACACATTAATTTATAAAACAAGCTATCAGATCCCAATCATCAGAACGAAAGTAAAAGAAAATGCTCAACGGCAACCTCAGCTCAGTTGTAGATGGAATAGCTTCTGCAATCTTTCATCCATTTCGAATCTGTTTCGCTTACCACTACACACGATCGTTTCAATTCGATCGTAAATCACGCCATGCACGCCCTGCTTTTTGTACCAATCAATAGATGTACGATCGCGCAACTCATCACACCATAGCAAAACCCACTTATTTTGACGATTTGCCAAAGCTACCGCGTCTGGATGAGTTTTTAGAATACTTACAGCCAGCACAACGCCATTTAAATCGAATGCCTGCGCTGTATTTACAGCGGGATGTAGGCAATGTGTGCGTGGGTCCAAGTATTCAGGTACAACATTCGACACCAATAGGAATACTGGGTAGATATTTTGTTTGTAGCGCAACATAATGCAAATATCCGCATCAAAGGAACTAAAGCAGCACACTCTTCCCCAACTGGCTTCCTTTACGACACGCAATATGGCATCTACGTACATGTTCTTATCGATGGTCTGTATGCCCTCAATACCGCCATTGTACAGCGCCTGAGGCCACTTAATTTCCATGTTACAACCAAGAAAACGACTAGTTTTGCGGAAGAACTCTTCGAGACGGGGAAACAGGCGCTCGCTTTCATCATTTAAGCAGCAAGGAGCGGGATACTCCACAATCTGGTCATTTATGATTTGATAAGTTTTTAAATTCTGTAATTCATGGTAGGTGAAGTCTTTGATTGGTTTCATGGTGAGGTCATTGCTGCTAGCCGGTTTTTCAGATTCCGAAATGCATGTGAGTACATCAAAATCGTGAAAGATGATCGGCACCATATCTCTGGTTAGCATCACATCGAACTCCACCATGTCCGCGCCTGCGTTGAACGCTGCATTCAAAGAACGCAATGTGTTCTCGGTGACTGGTGCTGGAGTTTCAGCTACGAAACTGCGTCCCATGCCGCGATGTCCAATGTCCAGCCCTCTCCAACGATTTGGCCAGTATTGTAAAAAGGACGTATTCAATTTCACCTTCCAGTCGGGCATTGAATTTATGACTACGTATTGAATTTTCAATTTTGCCAACTCCACGCCATTACAGCTTCCAGAAAAACTTAGTGTCAATTGACCTTCGCTGGTGTTCACCGCCTCAGGCGGTATATACTGCTGACCCAGAAGCTGCGCGCAACCGGTCGACTCATTCGACAAATACAACTTCAGCATGTAGCCTACCAAAGCCTGGTCCACCATTAACACTTGAAATAGCAACGTGTTGTTATTGTAGATCACACCCAAATCAGGCTGATCTTTCATTTGGCTGCTACCATAAAGCATACTGGAGTATTGGGCACATGCGCGCGCAGATGACAGTATGGGTAGCATCAGATCGGGATTGACAGGCTCCAACTTGATGCGCACCTTCTCCTCCGGCACTGTAGGCAAGTTAGTTTTGAACTCTAGTGCATTGCTGAATAATTTGAAAAGTACCGCATGTCCTGTATTAAGCCAAGCTTTACGCACCTTCGGTTTATTGGGACACATGTAGCCGAACCTATCGTAACATTTCTCTTCCGCATCTAACAGTTGGACTTCACGCGCGCGCTCTTGTATCTCCCACCGACGCGCCTGCACTAGCTGAGTTGCCTTGTCTACGGCGGCGATGAAATAGCGATAGCGCAACAATTTGTAAAGTGATAGCACAACCGAACCACACCACTCGTTGTAGTCATCTTTGCTGCGTTTCAAGAGCGCCGCTGATTGTACGTCCCACTTACCGAGTGCTTCTTGATTGCCCATCACAGCGACCACTTCATAGGGCGCCAACCGGATGCCAGATAAATTAACCACGAAATGCACATTCGCTGCTGATTCAGTCATTTTTCGATTGTTTGAAAATAAGTTGAATTAGGCGAGAAAGTACGGTAATTTTTACTAAAACCTACACAGAAATTTAGCAACAAAATTTTAAAATTTACGTTACATTTTAAATTACAGCAGACACCTCTTGACAGCGTAGAAATATTTGGAAAGACGATCATATGGAAATACAATTGTAGAGTTTATACAAAATAAACACGGATGGCAAAAATACAGTGGCTTCTAGAATTATTATTTCATTCGTTTAATAATACTCTTGTGTTCACTTTTGCGCACCCTAGGCAACATGGGAAACTCATGTGCGAGATGCGATAACCAACTCTATAGAGGTGGGCTTTAGTGGAGCCACTCCGATGTATTCAGTACACTCCGACATCTTTCTCCAGGTTCACGCATATCAGCGAACGAGTTTCCACAATCCGCATTAAGTCTAAATTCAACCACATCAGCTTAGTTTGTGAGCGTACCCCGCGGAAAAGCATAACGATGAGATTAAGAAGCGATTTCGTGAGAACCTGAAAAACATCAATAAAATCACTTGGTTGTATCCTGTTCATACAACAAAGAACCAAGGTGCAGGATATCCTTCGAGCGTTCGTGATGTCCGTTCACGCAGAGGATTCAACATCGATTCGGAGCACTACCTTGTTACAGCTAAGGTCCCCATACTCCTCTGTGCCATAAAGAACATGCGTCACTCGACTCCTAAGTGGGATCACACGCAGTCACAGAGAGGTGTTGTCTAGAAATGTGTAACCAAAATTAGTTCAGTTCATTAAAAAACATTCCAACCAACAACACTCTGTTAGTATGAAAATGTACAAATCTGTACAAATGTACAAATCGTGTGTTCCCTGCTTAAGAATTAAGGTACTGTGTGAAATACTAGATACCTTCATGAAAGATTGAGTCGTATCAGTGTGGCTTCAGGCTTGAAACCAGGTTTGACGAGACTGTCGAGTGGATTTTATAGCCGCTTTTTACATCACGAAGAGAAGCTGCCTCTGCGAAGCCAAGTTTAATTTCGGATTCCCGCCAAAACTACACATCAATATGCACAATCGGCCACGCAGGGCAATAAAACATATCATACGGAGTTGTACTACGCAATAGTGTACTGAAAATGCTTAAGCAGGGCCCAATTGCACCAACGACTTATCACTTATCACTTTACAACTTTTGGATAAGCCTTTTTATTGAAAAGTAAAGTTGATAAGTGTTGCACTTTTTACTTATCAAAAAATGAATAACTGACAGGCGATTAAAGCGCCAAACAAGAAGAAGATGCTTAAATAACACTATGCGACAGTCAAAATCGGGATGGGATGAAACCAACGGGAAATGTTATATCGGTCAAAAACAAGTTATACGTGGCCCGGCGTTTCGCTGGGTCACGTCTAGGAATCGAGATATATCGATTTGAAGTTAGTAACTATCATATAGGGGAAATTGTCACCTTTGGTGGTC